CATCATCTGTATATTGTATTGTGTGTTCACCACCCCAAGTCATGTCTCTTTCCATCACCATTTATCTCTCCTTTACCCTCTTCTACCTCCTCCATCCCCCTTACCTGCCTTTTTAACAGTTGAAACCATCATCACTGGTTTAAAGCTGATGTAGGAATACTAAATTGGAAGCTTACCTTCCCGAGGTTGGGATTTCAGGAAAGGCAGTATTTGAGCTAGTGTTAGTCAACATTAATCAAAGGAAAAATAAGTTCTTTGTTGAAGTAGAATTAAAGTTTATTATAGCAACTTTGTTTTTATCTTTTCTTCTACAATTAAAATGTTATCACCATGGCATCTTTAAATCATTATTGTAACAAATTGAAACTATTTCTGTAATCTCTGACATTTATGAATAGGCATTAGACTGCTTATAATATAATTGTCTATTTTTCGATAGGGGCTTTAAAAATTATGAAGTAATTTAAAAATATTAACTTATAGTGGATTATATTACAGATATTTGTGTGCTCAATTTGCTTCTTTACAAGACTATAATTTCTTTGCATCCTTATTCTCTGGGTTGTCTCTATTACATAATATAAATTGAGTGAATAAAATGATGAACTCATTTTTGGCAAGGCTATAAATTGAAGTCTTAGAATATTCAGTAGTGTTTTTGCTCTAATGTCTTACTGATACCCTAACAATTTCAACTACTCATTGAATAGCTTTAATAATTAACAATGAAAACGTATTTTAAATGGCTACTTTAAACCTGCTACAGAGTTATGTAATTTTTCATTTTATTAACATATAGTGCTGCTCTAGTTATTTTATTATGGTCTTATTTAGTATGTCACTTATGTACCTTATATAATATGAATTAAGTTAAATTTCATTACTGTTTTCATCATTCAATCTTGACACTTTAGGAAATTTCAAATAAAGATCTAAACACTAACTACATCAGACTAAAAAGTTCTTGCCTAGCAAAGAAAATCACCAACAAAATGAAAATACAATCCACTGAATGGGGGAACATATTTGCCAATACATCTGACAAGTGGATAATATCCAAAATTCAAACAATTCAATTAATAGATGGGCAAAGAACCTGAATAGACATTTCTCCAAAAGGGACATACGGATGGCCAATAGACATATGAAAAGATGCTCAACGTCACTAATCATCAAAGAAATGCAAATTAAAACCACAATGAGATTTCATTTCACACCTCTCAGAATAGCTAACATCAGTAATTCAAAAAACAAATGTTAGCTAGAATGTAGAGAAGAGGGAATGCAAGTTGGTGCAGTCACTGTGGAAGGCAGTATGGAGTTACCTTAAAAAATTAAAGACGGAACTGCCAAAAGTTCTTTTATTTTTTTTTTAGGTTTGCCCAATTTAGCTAGAAAATTCCTTTTATTCTCAGATTTTTTTTTAAATTTAAATTTAAATTCTTTATTGTTTAAAGTATTACGTAAGTCTCCTTTTTCCCCCAGCCATCCCCAACCCCCAGTACATGCTTTCAGCCCCCTCTCCCATGTCTGTGCCCATTGGTTATGCTCATATGCATGCATACAAGTCTTTTGGTTGATCTTTTACCCCTTTGCCCTCTGCCTTCCCTCTTAGGTTAGACAGTTTGTTTGATGCTTCTGTGTTTCTGGTTCTATCTTTGTTCATCAGTTTATGTTGTTCATTATATTCCACAAGTGAGTGAGATCATGTAATATTTATCTTTCTCTGACTGGCTTATTTCGCTTAGCATAATGCCCTCCAGTTCCATCCAGGCTGTTGCAAATGGTAAGAATTCCTTTTTTACAGCAGCTTAGCATTCCACTGTATAGATGTACCATAGATCTCTAATCCACTCATCTGCTGATGGGCACTTATGCTGTTTCCAATTCTTAGCTATGGTGAATTGTGCTACTATAAACATAGGGGTGCATATATCCTTTCTGTTTCTTGGGATATATTCCTAGAAGTGGGACTGGATCAAATGGAAGTTTAACTTTTAATTTTTTGAAGAAATGCCATACTGTTTTCCACAGTGGCTGCACCAGTCTGCATACCCACCAGCAGTTCAAGAGGGTTCCTTTTTCTCCACATCTTTTCCATCACTTGTCATTTGTTGATTTGTTGATGATAGCCATTCTGACAGGTGTGAGATTGTACCTCATTGTTGTTGTGATTTGCATCTCTCGGATGATTAGTGGCTTTGAGCATGTTTTCCTTTGTCTCTTTACCTTCTGTATGTCTTCTTCCAAAAAGTGTCTATTTAGCTCCTTTGCCCATTTTTTGATTGGATTGTTTATCTTCCTTTTGTTAAGTTGTATGAGTTCCCTATAAATTTTGGAGATTAAACCCTTATCGAAGATAACATTGGCAAATATGTTCTCCTATGTAGTGGGCTTTCTTGTTTTGTTGATGGTTTCTTTTGCTGTGCAGAAGCTTTTTATTTTGATGTAGTCCCATTTATTTATTTTCTCCTTGGTTTTCATTGCCCCAGGAGCTGTATTTAGTAAAGATATTGCTATGGCAAATGTCTGCTATTTTGCTGCCTATGGCTTCTGAAACTAAAAGTTCATTTAAAATTAAAAATGGACTGCCTTATGACCCAGCAATTCCATTTCTGGGAATTTATCCAAAGAAACCCAAGACACTAATTCAAAAAAATGTATGCACTCCTGTGTTCATTGCAGGATTATTTACAATCACCAATATTTGGAAACAGCCCAAGTGTCCATCAGAGATGAGTGGATAAAAAAGAAGTGGTACATTTATACAATGGAACTAGAGGCCCTGTGCACGAATTCGTGCATGGGTGGGGTCCCTTGGCTTGGCTGGCGATCAACACCTGCAGGGAGGAGGGACCCCTGGGAGGTTGGCTGGCCGGCCCCCCAATCAGGGCCTTCAGGAGGGCCGGCCGGTAAGGGGGAAGGATCGCGGGAGGTTGACTGGCCTGGGGGAGGGGCCGTGGGAGGTTGGCTGTGAAAGCACACTGACCACCAAGGGGCAGCTTCTGCTTTGACCATCTGCCCCCTGGTAGTCAGTGTGCATCATAGCGACTGGTCGACCATACATTCCAATTGTAACGGTTGTTAGGCTTTTATATACATAGACACTACTTGGCCATTAAAAAAGAAGGAAATCTTACCCTTTGCAACAGCATGGATGAACTGGAGAGCATTATTCTAAGTGAAATAAGCCAGTGAGAGAAAGACAAGTACCATATGATTAAACTCCTATGTGGACTCTAATGAACAAACAAGCAAAATAGTTACAGACTCATGGATAGAGAGCAGACTGACAGTTGGCATTGAGGGAACTTGGGGGAAGAGGAGGTATTGAGTAAAAAGGAAAAAAAAAAGTAAAACTCGTAGACACAGACAAGAGTGTGGTGATTGCTAGGGGGAAGAGGGTTGAGGTAGGTAGAGGAGGGCCTGGGGGGTAAATGGTGATGGATGAAGACTTGGCTTGGGATGGTGAACACACAATACAGTGTACAGATGATGTATTATAGAATTGTATATCTGAAACATGTATAATTTTGTTTAACCAGTGTCACCCAATAAATTTAAAAAAAAACAAAAAACATTATTTCAGTATGCGAAAAAAAATTATCTGAACACTAGTTCCATTAGCAAGGATAAATGGTAACATTAAAGAGTTTAAATGCAGAGCTTTCAATAAAAGATAATTTGGTTCAATTACTTTTTAGTGAAAACCAGAATATCATTTATTCATTTACATATGAGATAGGCGATATCGTCAAGTATCTAAAATACCTAAGTGTCTTATTTATGATACCTTTTTTATATTGAGTACTTATAAAGTCAAATAAACAATCATAAATTTTCTTTTTAAGCACTGAATTAGAACAGTGATAGGTAAGCACTGAATTAGAGCAGTGGTAGGAATTAAGAACCTAGAGCACCTCTCTATTAGAGATATGATAGTAGCACAATATTACCATATATGGAATTTAAAAATTTTAGTAGCACATTGTAAAAACTGAAAAGAAACAGATTAAGTTAATTTTAATAATATAGCTATTTAACTCAGTATATCCACAATGTTATTTTAGCCCATAATCAGTGTTTTTAAATTAACCTTTTTATACTAAGTATTTAAAATCTGCTATGTATTTTACACTTAATGTACATCTCAATTAGCATCTTTACTTACCAGCTACTTCAGTTACGTAAGAAAATTACTGAATATTTTTGTGTCTCAATTTCTCCATTTTTATAATGAAACATTATAATGGTTAAATTAGATAATATATACTATGCCTAGCAAATGGTATTACAGAAATCTTAGCTGCTTTCCAAAAATATTTCAAACAGATGAACACGATATTTAATGACATCACTGCCTCAAGGCAAAGATTATATCTTAAGCATTAAATTTGTAACTTTAAAACACTCATCTTTTTCCATTGGACAGTTCTGGGTATACATATCTCTCTGAATCCATGTTTAAACTATTTTTAAAAGAAGCAAAATTAATATTGGCTCATCAGTTGTGACAAATATTTTCACATTAATGCAAGATGTTAAAAGAAAACCGTGGTGTGAGAATCTGTGAAATAAATTTCTTTACTTTTCTGCTTATTTTCTCTGTAAACCTAAAACTACTGTAAAAATTAAGTCTGTTATAAAAACAAACAAACAAAAAAACCCAAACAAACACCATGTCTGTTACTGATTCTTGATATATTTCACTTGTGACAGAATCCATCAGTAAAAGTGGCAGTTTTAGTGTCATTAAAACCATCAATCAGAGATGTTTAGTTATGGTGAAAAGTCTGATTTAATGTTTCCTATTCCAGTAGTCATTCATTATCTACACTTTTTAACTAATATATGGAAAATTTAATCATAAAATGGTTGTTTTGCCTTCATGGTTATTGGGGTGGGCAATGGGCATTATTGGTGTCACTCTGATGTTAATAGTCCTGTTTTTTTTATACACTATTGCCAGTTTTGAGAATATTTTCTTTTCCTGATTTCAGGTTGGGTGGGACTATATCAGCATACAAGATAGTACCAGACGAAATAGAAGAAATCAAGGTACCGTATGGCGTTTTTCATCTCTACAAACAAAGACTTAGTATCTTGGTGGCAAGTGGGGGAAGAATTGCTTATTCTTTATGCTATTAAATCTTTGGATGTATTAGGACAACATTTTATTCCAAGTTATCCTATTTGAAATAATCCTATCTAATAAAAGAAACATGGTAATTGGCGTACGACCGCTACCCTTCCCATTGGCTAATAAGGGTGATATGCAAATTAACTGCCAGCCGAGATGGCGGCCGGCAGCCAGGCAGCTTAAACTGAACATGAGGCTTGCTTGCTTCAGTGACGGAGGACTCCAACGTTCCCCGCCTGCCTTGCTGGCCTCTGAGCCTGCAGTTTGAACATTGTAACAAATATAGAAGCTAAACAAAACCCCAGAAACCAGCTTTCAGTCGGCTGGGTTCTCAGAGCTGGAGTTGATACAGAGTTTCGATTATAGAACCGAAACAAACCGGATACCTTCTTTCAGCAGCAGAGGCCTCAGAGCTGGAGCCAGGCTAAAGCTGGCCCAGAATAAAAAAAAAGAAAAAAGAAAAAAGGAGCAGTTGGGAGCTTCAGTCACCCGCCAACCTGAAAACAGCCCTCAGCCCCTCACCCAGACTGGCCAGGCACCCCAGTGGGGACCCCCACCCTGAAGGGGGTGTGACCAGCTGCAAACAGCCATCATCCCCTCATCCAGGCTGGCCAGGCACCCCAGTGGGGACCCCCACCCTGATCCAGGACACCCTTCAGGGCAAACCAGCCAGCCCCCACCCATGCACCAGGCCCCTATTCTATATAGTAAAAGGGTAATATGCCTCCCAGCAACGGGATCAGCGGAGCCGTGAGGCCTCCCGGCACCGGGATCAGCATGACAGGGGGCAGCGCCCAAAACCCCTGATCGCCCTGTGGCTCTGTGTGTGACAGGGGGCGGGGCCACAACCTCCCTATCAGCCCTGCTCTGTTCCTGACAGGGGAAGGCGCCCCAACCCCCTGATTGGCCCTGCACTATGCCTGGTAGGGGGGAGCTCCCCAACCCCCTGATCACCCTGCGGCTCTGTGTGTGACAGGGTGCGGCGCCCCAACCCCCCCACCCCGCAGGCCCTACTCTGTGTGTGATGGGGTAGAGCCATAACCTCCCCATCGGCTCTGCCCTGAGTGTGACAGTGGCGGCGCCCCAACCCCCTGATCGGCCCTGCTCTGTGTGTGATAGAGGGCGGCGCCCCAACCCCCTGATCCGCCCTGCTCTGTGTGTGACATGGGGCGGTGCACCAACTCCCCTATAGGCCCTACTCTGTGAGTGACAGGGGGGAGCTCCTCAACCCCCTGATGGGCCCTACTCTGTGCGTGACAGGGGGCAGCGCCCCAACCCCCTGATTGGCCCTGCTCTGTGCGTGACGGGGTGGCGCCGCAACCTCCCCATCGACCCTGCCTTGAGCGTGACAGGGGGCGATGCTCCAACCCCCCAATAGGCCCTACCCTGAGCGTGACTGAGGGTGGCATCGCAACCTCCCAATCCTCCCTGCTCTGTGCATGACAGAGATCGGCGCCCCAACTCCCCAATCGGCCCTGCTCTGATCCCGACCAGGGGCTGCACCTAGGGATTGGGCCTGCCCTCTGCCACCCGGGAGCAGGCCTAAGCCAGCAGGTCATTATCTCCCGAGGGGTCCCAGACTGGGAGAGGGCACAGGCCGGGCTGAGGGACCCTCCCCCCCCCCCCCCCGAGTGCACAAATTTTTGTGCACCGGACCTCTAGTGTGTGTGTGTGTGTGTGTATATATATATATATATATATATATACACACACACACACACACTATTAATTTTAATATGTCAGGTGTTATGTGTAGTCAACATCAGGAATTAATGCCATGATTACATTCTATCATTTAAGAAATCAGGTGTCAGCAGACTTACTCAAACTTGATATAAATTCTCAAAATAGGTGGTTGGAAGGAACCTTTGGTCTAATCCAGATCTCTCATTTTTTTAAAAAGAGAAAACAGGAATAAAGGTGAACTTGCTAAAATTAATTGAGGTCCAGTAAGTACTTCCAAAAATATAATCAGAGGTTTAAAGGGTCAGAATAACATGAACATATTACTTCTTGAGATATATATTACAAACTGTAAAAACTTTAAGTAATCAATAAATGTATATGTAAATAATTAAGCAGCATTTATATAAAGGATACAGAGTTGAAATCCATCTCTCTAAATGGTGCTCTGTCTTTTTTACAATTATGATATGTTAAGTGATTAAGATAAACAGAGTGTCCTATGAAAGACCTAAGAGGTGCACTTCGCCATTTGTAAAAGATAATCAGCAATCTTTCCAAGAACTCAGCAAATTGGAGTTTTATACAGTTCCGTGTTCTGTGAAAGAATAAACATGAGATAATATGGCAACGGATCACAGGGTTAAAATAAAAACTGTTGAGATATAGAACTGGCAGTAGACCTTTATGCTATGTTAAGAAATTTAGATTTTATACTGAAAACTATGGGTTGCCATTATGTGATTTTAAGAAAGAAACGTAACCTGATTGGTAAATTTTTTAGGTTTTTCTGAGATGAGTGAGAAAAATAATCTCAATGAAAAGGAGGTTCCATCTATAATGAAGGAGACCAGGTTGCAGGATATAAGCACAAAGTGATTAAAACCTGAGCTAAAGAGGTAGCAGTAAGTCTGAAGAAAAAACTTAGATTCCAGAAATATTATATAAGTAGAATCAAAAAATACTTTATTAATTAGATGTTTAGGGGAAGATGGAAAAATTGAGTCAGGTTTCTGGCTTAGGAAATCTTAGGAGATCCAAGAAAAGAACTAAGTTTGAGAGGAAAGAGGATATGTTTTGACTTATTTAGTTCATCATTATATATCTGTCTCAGATAACCAAATATCCAGTAAGTGATTGGATAAGTCAGCCTGGAACCCAGAAAAAGATAATTGTATCTTTTGATTGATATTGGGGTTTGTCATTATGTAAGGCAGTTAAGGCCATGCTAATACATGCAATTCCCTAAAAAATGATTTTAAAACAATCTTTATTGTTGAAAGTATTACATATGCTTTCTTTTTCCCCCCATTGACGCTTTCTAGCCCACCCCTCACCTCCTGCCCCAGGTCTTCACCACCCTATTGTCTGTGTCCATGGGTTATACATATATATGCATACAAGTTCTTTGGTTGATCTCTTCCCACCTACCCACCCTTGTAGTCTCTCTGAGATTTGATAGTCTGTTCCATGCTCCCCGCAGCTGGCCCTCCCCCCGATTGCCCCCCTAACCTTGATTGGGGGTGGGGCCTGCCATCCAACCTCCCATGTCCCCTCACCCTGGCTGGCCCAGCCCAATTGGCCCAGATCAGGATGGGCTGGCTGGACCACCTGTGCACAAATTTGTGCACCTGCCTCTAGTGAAGTAATAATAGTGGACTGAAACCGTTGCCCTGGGGAAGGCCCATCCTAGAAACAGAGGATTAATATATTATTTTTTTAAGTTTCATTAAGTGCAAGAATTTTGCCTAATTTTTATAGTGACTTTCTCTAAAGGAGGAGTTCTTTCATTGTGTTTTTTAAAATATATTTTATTGATTTTTTACAGAGAGGAAGGGAGAGGGATAGAGAGTTAGAAGCATCAATGAGAGAGAGACATTGATCAGCTGCCTTCTGCACACCCCCTACTGGGGATGTGCCGTAACCAAGGTACATGCCCTTGACTGGAATCGAACCCGGGACCCTTCAGTCCATAGGCTAATGCTCTATCCACTGAGCCAAACCGGTCAGGGCCTTTCATTGTATTTTTTGAAATTCTAGAATTATAGAGTTATGTCTCAAGAGATTTTTTTTAAAAACATGATTAATGGATGACATGTGATATGTGATTTTTCCCATCAATTACTAGTTTTATATCTCAGGTATCTTCAGAGAGTTTGAGGCCTGAGGCATAAAAAATATAAAATTGATTCTTTTGTTCGAAAGTGTTAGAAGAAAAACTATTATAAATTATTTTACCAACATATGTTGGCACCATTTGCATTTTCAGCTGAAATCAGATAGTAAAATCTTTTTGCTTTGATTGGAGGAAATGGGAAACATATGTTTGTAATGTTCATTTTAGTTGGATAATATCTGAGTAATTTTAAATTATTTAAATGTGCAATTGAATTTATATTTGAACTATACTGTCTGTAATATACCATATATAAAGATATATGTATGTAAAGTTTTACTATTAAAAAGGTATGATTGATTGATGAAACATAATTCAATTTTTGTCAGATATAGTAATCTTTCACAATGTTTCTGGTACCAGAAATCATTTAGTTCATACATAGTTTGACTTAAGCATACATTTATTTATTGCAAAAAATCATCTCATAGTGAATGGATGCTAGGCCAAAGGCTTAAAGGATAAAGAGTGCCTATCTTCCTGGCCCAATCACAATAATCTCTTCCACCTAATATCTTTGCTTTTATTTAGATTTACCACTCGTGCACACACATTCCTAAATATTATAATTTATTTGTGCTTCTGCTTGCATTTTATATAAAGTGAATTACATTGTATGTAAACTTTTGTGCTTTCTTCTTTTGCTCAACACTGAGATTCATCCATGTCATTGTCAATAGCTAAGTTTCTTTCTTCTTCTTTTATTTTGGCCATAATATACCTCATTGTGTCACAAATTATTGAAAACTACCACTGATGGACATTCAGCTTATTTCCATTTACAGTTATTATGAAAAATTATGTTATAAAACTCTTATATAGCATCCTGTATAAGAGTTTCTCTAAGGTATATACTAAAGAAAGGAATTTCTGTTTTTTTAAGTAATGTGTATTTTCAACTTTTCTGAATGAAATCACTGTTTTCTAAGGTAGTCATGCTAATTTATACTACCAACTTGGGTATATTTATTTTAAAGAGAAATATTTAAATATTAACTCTTTAATCTATCTGAAATTTATCTTGGTATAAATTTTTATTTATTTATATATGGGATGACT